ACTTTCCCTGGTACCGACAGTAGTGTGATACTTCTATAGTTTTCACATTTGCTTAGATCTTTCTTTAATATATTGATGAGGTGTCCTTCTTTTCAGTCTGTCGCCGCTTGTTCTTCTTCCCAAATCTTCCTGAATAGGACGTGGAGTATCGTTGCAGTTGCTTCTCTGTCCGACTTCAGTGCTTTGGCTGGTATACTACAATGTTCTGCTTTCCAACCCTTCATTTGTCTGATGGCCATCCTGATTTCTATCGTTGGTAGAGTGACATCAATAGGAGGGTTGTAGGTGTTGCTTCGATATCCAGTGGGTTCAGTGGGGCTGTTCTTTTCAAGAGTTCCTTGTAATGTTCCACCCATCTGTTCCTTTGTTCTTGAATCTCAGTGATTGGTTTTCCTTTTTTGTCCCTGACCGGTCTCTCTGGTTTACTATATTTCCTTGCCAGTTTCTTCATTGTGTCACATAGTTGTTTCATATTTCCTTATGTTGCAGCTTTTTCCACTGTCGTTGCTAGGTCTTCCATGTATTTCTGCTTGTCAGCTTCAGTGCTCCTCTTCACTCTTGTTTGCTCCTATGTATTCGACGTGTGCCTTAACTTTCTCTGTTCTTGTTCGTTTGTTGTTAGTTGCTGTCTTCTTGTTCTTCCTTTCCTGAATCTTGTCCAGGGTTTCGATCGAGATCCATTCCTTATGATGATGCTTCTTACGGCCCAGAACCTCCTGACGCGTCGAAGTTAGTGCTTCTTTGATCTCTTTCCAATTGTCCTCCACAGTAGTTTCTTCTTCTCTGAGTAGATTTTGTAGGGCTTAGAACTTTTTGTTGAGAGCTATCTTGAATTCGTTGAGTTTGACATTATCTTGAAGGGAGGCTGTATTGAACATTCATATTGCTGTTTCTTATCTGTCCATTGTTTATTTAACTTCAGTTTCATCTTGGTAACCATCAGGTGGTGATCTGAAGCTATGTCAGCTCCTCTTCTGGTTCTCACGTCTTCCATTAACCCGAACTTTTTACTGATGTAAATATGATCGGTCTGATTCTCTGTAGCGTGGTCCGGTGAAACCTATTTAGTTTTGGGTATGCGTTTGTGGAGGGATATTGTGCCACCTATAATCACGTTGAAAACACGTAAGTTTGCGAATCTTAAGCCATTCTCGCTCCTTTCCTCCAATCCATGTCATCCCATGGTGTCTTCATATTCGGTGTTCTCCTTACAGACATTTGCGTGTAAGTCTCCCATCAGGGTGGTCATTTTATTCCTTAAGTAATTCACTACGACCGGTTGCAGTCTCTCGTTAAACTGATCTTTATCGTCGTCATTGTTATTATTGGTGGGTGCATAACACTGGATAACATTCATTGTGATTCCCTTTGTTTTGAATGATGCTTTGATGATTCTGGATCCATGGGATTTCCATCATACAAGTGTATTACGTGCTTCTCTGAACAGCAATAGAGCAACCCCCTTCTTGTACGGAGCATTTTCTTCGTGATCAGAGTATAGTAGCATCTCTCCGGGATCTAATCCTTTCTATCCAGCTTGGGTTCAATGTGTTTCACTTATTCCGAGCGCCACCGAGTTGTATCCTCATTTTCTCAGATGTTCGCTTGGTCCTCTCGGTCTTTCACATTATCTGAATGTTCCATATAGCTATATTTATTATTGCTGTGGTTGTTAAAAGGGGCATGGATCTCGTGACTTCCGAAGAATCTCAGTTTTCATCATGAGGTGTCATAATTATTCCTTGAACTCGGAGGGTACAGTTTAAATTGTTTATTTTAGTTAGCGCTTTTTAACAAGATTGTTTTCTACGTGATGGGGTTGCTGGCCCTATACACAACCCTCTTTTACCCGGGCTTGAGACCGACAGTAACCCTAGAAGATCTATATGCGAAGTTAAGGGTCGTTAGGTATTGTATTCAGAAAGTCGTGTAGTCTGAGTGCAAACTATCAGTAAACCCATCAACTCAAACCTCTGAATTTATGACTAGTGGTATATCACACATTATTGGTGCATATAATGTTTCTTAAATAGGATTAATTTAAATAGATTTTATTATCAAACTGGTCGCCACAAACACAAATCTTTAATTTAATGGGATAGAAAGTACGTAGATTATATATATATCACTTGCATCCTTTCATAATTACAAACGTACAGTAGTCTAGTGTCATAAAAGAGTTATTAATTCAACAAACTAAAATTTTCCCGAGATGATCTGTGTCAGCGTCATAAGTTGAAAGCTTGTTCAATTGTAAGATTATATACTAAGTAGTTTTCCAGAGAAAAATAACCAGTTAAACCTTCGTCTTCATGCATTCAGTTAAAAGACTTCTAACCACTAATTGGTCTTCCTACAGTGAAGAATGTATAAGGGGTAACTTGGTATGTTGTTTCTCATAGTTTCTACAGTTTCTTTGTCAGTGTTATCCGACTCGCTTTTTTGTGTAGTTCAGTGTTCCTTATACAGAATTTAGGAATTTCAGATGACTGCATGGTACTCTCCATTCTGATTATCTGTAGTTTAGGCCACTTCCCTTCATTAAGATTTTAGTTGTTAGTCAAAAGAACTGTACAAACATCTTTACTTTAAATACTGGGTGAAACAAATGGTTAGCAACTATTGCTTAATGGTGAAGTCGCTCAAAGTTCGTAGTATTTAATATTCAAATTCAATGTAGGGGATTACTCGCTGTTTCTATATGAAGTTAGCTAGAAGTCGTAAAAGGTACAGTTATAAATTCTAAACATTTTGAGTACATATTGTTACTGTAGTTGTTGAGAAAACTATGTACCAGCGTGTTCACCAAACACCAGGATGGTATCTAGGTGGCCATCGTCTATGGGAATCTATGTAGGAAATAAATTCATCATAATGGTGACAGAAGTAAATAAAGGCTAAATATATTTCTCACAAATTAACTTAACCAATGATTTATGTTACTGTTTGTTCACATCTTAATGTTCTCGCATATTATGATGCTGAATGATCGCCTTATCTCCCGAACATGCCCATTAAAAGAAGCTGCGAAAGGACTGCTTACTGATCAGTTAAAGTCCAACAATTTGCTAAACTTATTGTCCAGATGTCATTTTAAACACAAAGTTGTAAAATAAAGGGTTTTGTAGGTTACCAGCACTGATTGTTGATCCTTACTTGTCAGTCGTACCACTAAACTAAATCCATTTTAATTCATTATGTAGTCACTATAAACTGGACCTAATGATCAATTTTCCATCTGTTAGCTTTCAGTTGTGTTTGGATATTGGAATTCTTATATTCATCGTTAGGAGATGGCATCTGTCTGTTACAGCAAAAAAGAGAAAAATGGAAGTACTTTATCATCGAACTTCAGACAACTTTGGGGTGAATATGACGTTCTCTTGAACTGTCATAATCGCTAATGGTATGGAACTCAAGATTTAGTTTTCTTAATGGGTATAGTTAGATTATGTAGCTAGAATCCAGTGATCTACATTTTATAGTGGGATAAGTATTTCTGTCGGCATTCACTATACAATGAGTAACTTAACTAGGAAGCATAATAAGGTGTCATTAATAATACACCCATATAGTATACATCGTTTGGACTTACAAAACAATTTGACAGAATCCATAAAGGTGATTAAATGCGGTAGGGATTTAAGTAAGTTCTTGAGTTGTTCACGACTAAAATGGTGTTCAATTTTATTTTTAATAACACTTCACATTATTAAGTCAGTGTCATCTTCAATTTATTGAAATAACTGCTCACTGGAATATTAAAGCCAGACAGTTTAATAATGTAGTTTTAGTTATCATTGTTAGTAAAAAGCTGTCAACTTGAGAAGACCGGTCATATTACAATTTTACGAACTATGATAGATGGCTTGTTAGGAAAACACGCTCAGAGAGGGCATCTCTATAACTCAAACCTTATGTTGGTATTTCCGTTATATTCAAAAATTTCACCAATGAGTCATTTATATTATTGATTACAGTAATGATAATGATCCTTTACTTTTCAATCTCATGTTTTGTATTTTGAGTAAATTGTATGGGCATTATAAAAGAGTAACGCATTGTCACCTAAGTGAAACGCAGTCAGTCAGTAACAACGTAGAACTTCGTACGTACGTACATCAGTTCGAGTTGCCATACCATAAGTGAAATGCTCGTGCTTATGTATCAGTTTTAATAATATAAGTACTAGTGAGTAAAAAAATGACAATGCAAGTTGTCAAGTACAGATTTGTGTACTCGATGTTGAACCACACTTTATATGTAAAGGTAAGTGATACTACCCAATTACTCAAACTGAAGTAGGTGAAGCAGTACAGATATTTCCTTCTATCAAAGTTAACTTATTTTGAACAGAAGTATCTTTTAACTTATTTATTTAAGAATTCGCACTAATAATAAAGAATAAAATATGAATAGACTTTTATTCACAAACAATATAAAACTGAATATTTATAACATTTATAATGTAAAAGTTAATTCTATTAGGTCTAAATTTAATAAGTAGTAAAAAGAAAATCTTTACATTCTTTTTTATTACACTTAAAAATCAAAATATAAACCTGTATAACTAACTGAATATTTAACAATGTTAATCGAGTCTCCTGAATAATAGCTGGTATATATATATATATATATATATATATATATATATATATATATATATATATAGTGTTCCTTGTTTAATATTTAGAAAATTCAATTTTAACTTCCATAGAAAAATATGTATCAAAAATTTTGCCTTTCTTTAAAATGTCAACTAGAAAATACACAGTGAAATTTTATAAATTAATGAGATTGTGTAAATATGTTTTTTCTTTCTTTCTTCTCTACTAGTTTGGTTGATTAATAAAAAATAAACTTGAATGAATGATGAATGAGTGTGTGGAATAAATTGTTGTTTATAGTTTCAAACAAAAATAATGACACTTTTCAAATCTCATATTATTGTTATTACTATTGTCATCATTTGGTAATATATATATAAAATGAGTTTCGTATTAAAAGTTACAATATCATAAATGGTTTTATGATATTCTGACTTCTAAGTTGATTCTTATTGAAATATTTCGGAATTTTTGTTTATTTATTGATTAACATATTTATTCTTCCTTTTTGTTTATTTCTATTGTGTCATTATTGTCGTCAACTTTTTTTTGTACAAGAAATAGGGCGCTTCTAACATTTATATTGTTTGTTTGTTTTCTCTCTGTAGACTTGTTTGTGCTGTCATAGTAAACAGAAAAAAAATAAGTGGATGAAAGAATAAATAATTTATTATTATGTTGGTGTTGTAAACTCGACATTTTCTCACATAGAATTTGTTGTAGTTATTGTTGGTATTTATTCAATTTTTTTTGAAAATTCACTGATTACAACAAGCTGTGAGGAATGTGATTTACATATACTACATCTATTTTCTAAACCATAATAAATGTTTAGGTATGGTAGCTGTTATCTTCAAAGTTTAGGAGTCTTAAAAGTTAATCAACCTGAAACTATAGTTCTGTCAATTAAGTTGACAGTTGGTCGATACTCAAATGCATAAAATTCGAGCCTCGGTATTTCCTGCGAATGTAATTTTCTTGTGCTTACTGCTAAATCTTGCAATTTTCTAGCTGATGAAATGTATGTTTTTAAGTAAGAAGTATAAAAACAAATTTCTTTGTCAAGCAAATGTTTTTGTTAAATAATAAAGATAATAATAACGTCTACATATAACTTCCTAATACTAATCTAATTTTATCGATGAAGGTGAGAATGGGGGTACGAAACATACAGCTGTTTAGTACAATTGCGTAATTTGTTTATTATTGAGCAAGTGGAGAAAATGTGTAGGGAATACAGCATCTAAATTAGATTTTCTACCTATCGTTAATTATCAATTAGCTACATCTCCAATTATGGGAAAACTTCTCCTTAACAAGAGATTTGTACCAGAAATATTTAGCATTGGTATAAACTGTACGAATATCAGTCATCTAAACTAAATTAGGCTAAATAAAATATTAAGGTACATTTATTCACCAGTTTCTTGGCAATACGTCATACCATATGTGAAGGCTGATAATACTATCCATTTGCGCAAATCAAAGCAGGAGGAGCTGGGTTCGAAACTGGTTTAGTAGCCGAAAATCGAATACCTTAACTACTAAGCACTCCTGATAATCGGCTCGTAAATAGTAATTCAAGCAATATAATTTATTTTCCACCACAGATCAGGTTATAATTTTTTTAGTTGTAGTATTAGGACAAACAGTTTGGAATGAAAAATTAAGTATCCGTCTAGCAAAGTTCTCGACTTGGAATTCAGGTCAAGACAGGACTCCCTACTTACTTTATCCAGCTGTTCGATATTTAGATTGAAGTTTGTAGTTTTAAGCCTAAATTTTCATCGCTGTTGGGCGTTTGCAAAGACGTGTAAATTCATTCAATCCGGATATATTCGTAAACACTCATACACAGTGTAATAATATTTAGAATATTTTATTTCCAAAAGATCTCATAACACACTTAGACTCTCAGTTAAATGCTGTCATTCTTTTCACATTATAGTAATTTTTGAAGTTTGCACCCAAATAACACCTAAGACAGATTTATTGGTCATTATGAGTTTTATTATACTCGTGTTACTATTTTCATATTAAAATAAACCAAAAATGTCAATGGCATGCTGAGTAATAAGAGTTTTCACTAATAAAAAGTTTACAGTTTTGCACTATGAACAGTTTGTTTTCTGCGTTCTAATATTATATGAGATCTCTTGACATGAATATGTTTCAACAACAAAGAGTAGGTTCTCATGCAATGAACCAATTATGTAGATGAAAGACTTGCTATAAATAATTGTATACATATCACATTTAACCTAATAATTAAATGTCATAGATAAATAATCAGTCATTAGTAAACAGTTATCAAATATAAACTGTTTATTTAACGTGTAAGTAAATGTGTACCGGTTTTGTATATATTGCAATTAACTTGATAATGATGTACTGTGCACACATAAATTATTTTCTACTTCATTGTTTTTTTTTAATCATGGATAACTTACGGGTTAACCATTTTTTAGGGGATTGTATAAATTTTTTAGAATTTTTATTTTTCTCACAGCATAAACCACCATTTGTTGTTGATTCGGTCAATATTGTTGACGTCTTAGATATTCCCGGCGTGCTTGTGATTGAATTGGTCATTGACTGTGTACATGATGATATTATTGAAGCAGGCAAATAATTATCATTATTTTCTTTCACATTTAACGTCATCTCATCATGAATATGAATACTAATGTTGTCTGTATAATTATTTTGAATCGATTGTAAATTATTTGAATTGTTGATTTCATCAATCCCTGTTAATTTTGATTTCATCGTCATCATGTTACCATTTAAACGCTTTTTTACATCATTTCTAGAATCATGATTGTGATTTACATTGGATTGATCATTCAATGTTAAATATTCATTGTGCAATCCGTTTTCTTGTTTTACGCAATCTTTAAATTTGTCCATTTTATTATTATCAGTAGTGGTAGAATTATTACTGACCTTGTTTAAAATATACTTATTTTCACATAATGGTTGTGTACAATTTATCAGTTCTTTATCATCTAAACAAGGTAGTAGTCCGTTAGATAGTACTGACTGATCCCTTTCCTTGAATTTTGTGGTTGTTGAATTGACTTGGTTAGTTAACTTACACTGTTGACTTATTGATTGATTGAATACATTCAAATAATCTTTCTGTTTTCGATCAGTTGAAATTGAACTCAATGATATATCATTTGTAGACTTGAGTTTTGTTGTCGAATCGATTTTAGCAAGATTTTCATTCATTAAACTTTCTTGTCGATCATTTGTGGATTTATTATTGGTTTCAATGAGTTTCTGTTTTCGACTTTTTAATCCATTTGAACGTAATAATGGTTTTGCAACTGAATTCGAGCATAGTTTTGTTGACAATGATGATAAAGAGGACGACGTTGTTGACGGTTGTGATGATGGAGATGACAAAGACGATGACGATGAAGATGTGAATTTTGTCGGTGATTTGTTCATTGAGGATGCTTTTACAGAATCAGTGCCATTTTTCACCGGGTTACTAAATGATTTCATATCATTACTTAATAATGGATAAGATTTTCGATTATTAACAGACTGACTTGATTTTAATGGATTTCGATTAATTACATTTTTATTGGTATTAAGCTTCGCAATTGAATCATTTTGAACTTCTGATTTTGACATACCATTAATAGAATGCTTATTGGTTGGATATTTGTTGCAATCAGGTTTTATGGACGATTCATTTATTGGACATTGTTGACTACCATTATGTGACTTATCTATATTATTACTGCTATTACTATTAGGTATTAAACATAAGGGTTGTGGAATTCTAGAATGGGTTAGTCCTTGTTTATCTGAGCAGGATAAAACTGAACAGTCATCTGGATTTGAATCAGTTTCGTGTGGATGAAATCTGCCTTTACGGGCTGATTTTAAAGGTTTAAATTTGACTTCTTGTAATCCATTAGTTATTAAACTAGGTGTATGATTATTGGATGAATTATTTCTGAATACGGGTATTTTTGACTCACATGTCATACTGTTTAATTCTTTTGGCATAATATGTCCTTTATGATCTTGATTATCTAATGAATTCATAGTTTCGCTTGTTCGATTACTTACTACATTTATTTTTTCACCATTCAACATTGCACTTCCAGTTAGTTCTGATCTATCTTCTGTTAAATTGTTTATTGATTTAACAAAATTAGACATATAATCCATATGACAAGATACTCCATTTGTATTTTTAACAACCGAATTTTCTTGTTTTAACTTATTCTTATTAGTTTGAATACTTTCTAAATTGCCTTCATTATTTTGATCCAATTCAAATTCTTCTCTTACCAGTCCTAATAGTTGTGATGTTGGAAATTTTCCAGACAATTGATTTGAGTCACTCACTTCATTGAAATCTTTTGATTCTAGTGATTTGTTCGACATATTAAATTATTCATTGAGATATTTAGTGTATCTTTTAAACGATCAATGTTATTGCCTTGATCTTCGGATATTAATAGTTGTGATTCATGAATAAATTTATTTATATGATCAAAATTATCATAATGATTATGATGAAAATGAAATAGATTTTGAATACTTTTAGCTCTTGTCTGATTGAATAAAGATAGATTAACAGCTTTTAATGATGTTTCATTTACTTCATCGTTTCGGTCTATTTCTTCATTTGAATCACTGTCTACATCAAATACTAATTGATATGATGAAGCTCTAATTAGTTTGCTAGAATTGCTTAACTTTTGATTGTTATTATTAATTACAAAATTGTTTGTATTATTATCATGACATTGACTTATGAATTCACTGTTAGAGTGAAGTAAATTTGATGCATTGCACAAAAAACCGGTATTTCCTGTTTTTAAATTTTGTGTACATGTACCTTCCAATGTTTCTTCTCTATCTAAATGATTTTCTTTAATTGTAAATTCCCCATTGGAAATATCATCTTGTTTAGTGTTATGTTCGACACTAGTAAAAACATTGATTTTGATATTATTATTCTTAACATGGTTATCACTGAAGTCATCGTAAGTTTCTGAATGTTCTTCACTATCATTGAATAAAACAGTAGCTAATAAGTCATCAGACGTTAGTCGACATTCAATAATTTTTGGATTATTTGATTGAACATGTTGTACAATATGTTTAGAATTGTATTTTTCAATGGCATTTAAGTCACCAAATAATATAGTTGAAATGGCAGAGTCACCATCGATTGCAAAACCGTTAATAGAGCCTACAGGAACTAAGTGTTCAGAGTTCGATAACATCATATCGTTTAGATAAACCTGAAAAAAAGAAAAAATTAAAGATATAAAACAGTACAAGATAATTTCCCAACATTTTACGACTATAATAATGGTTGATATCTGTAGTTGAAAGAAAACTGAATATTTTTCTTAAGTGACCACACGTACCATTTTATCTTGCTCATTATTGTAGAAGCAGCCTTATCCTTTTTTAATTAACCAATACATTGACATTGTTGCTATTATTATTGTGCAGTCAGTTTTCTGGATGCAACTCATTATAATTATTCTAACAAGTATTACGGTTCAGTTAGTTGGTTTGTGAAGATTCCTTCTATTTGAAGATGGTCTTATTCACATACTAATAATAGTTGTGGAACTATTGATAACCAAGAAATGGTTAATAGACGTTTCAATTAAGTCTCGGACTCTTTAGCATTGTGTATTCATAACTCCATAGTGAATTAAATTCTCGAAAACAATTAACTTATCGAACAGAATGTAAACACTTCTTCATCTAACAGCTACTATACATGGGTTCTACACTGGTGTGTCAGCAATGTACATTGACCGTGATTGGTATATGAACTTTTCTCAAAATACCTGGCAGTTTTTTTCTGGTCGGTTCCGAATTACAGAAAGATTATCAGTTGAACGTTTTCCAGATGTTTTGCTCATGTACCGGAATTAGTTTCCTCCAATAAATTAATGTAGTTCCGAATAGTTTAAATGTGGCTAACTGATTTTATATAATATTATGTAAATGAAATACTGAAAAATCAGATGATTCACCAGGTACACTTTTTATTTAATATTAATTATAAAGGCTTTTATTTTCACACTGTTAATCTTCAAAAACGGACTGATTACCCTTTTTTGTCAAACACGTTCCTTAAATGGACGTCTGCACGCTATTTGCGCTTACAAATTTATCATTTTTCGGGAAGTTTTTATCAGAAGAATCCATAACGTATGTTTCTTCTTATGTGAAACCCATCGTCTGAATGTAGCTCCATTCTGGGCTTTATTCCTATCCACCATTCAAAATATAATTAGCCCTGAATATTCAATAGTCTGTAACATGTATTCACATCCTGAGAAGTAGTAATGATGTAATTTATAGATGCTTAGTTGTATGATATCGTAAATATGCGTGCATACATCAAGTTAGTGAATAATGGATATTAAATACTACTCAGTTCAATTTATGCAAATCTGACTTCTAGCCTGACGGTAAATAATGTAAAAGTGGTGTATTGTGGTGTTTACATGAACTAATGATTCCTTTGTACTTGTTGACTGCTTTATTTCGAATTCCAAATACAATACGTTTGTTCGTGCTCATCTATTACTTCCTGGTTAAATTGCATTATTTCTGGGATCTTAGTTTGTACTATAATTCAAATACTTCTAATTATAACATGTATTCACATATCATTCTGACTTATACCTAGAATCAGGTGGATCCATATCAGCAGTTTTTGTGTTTTCACTACAAGTCGTCAAATTTGGGGTTATTTTTAGTACCATTTACGAGCCAGTACCCAGCAGACGACTATGACACAATAACAAGCACTATAAAAATGCAAACACATACAACTAATAATAAATACTAAGAATTCTGAGTAAGTTGGTAGTTCTGTTGTTTCAATATCTTTGTCGATAATATTAACTCTTTGGACGATGTGTGCTAGTTCGAGCCTCAGTATGAACATCAACACTGCATTACAAGCAAAATCAGAAAAAGATTTACAGGTAATGTTAAATACGGGTTTTGGAAGTATCTGATATCCACTACCCAAAACACATGATCTATATTGAGTAGAGGAAGTAGAGCACGCATTTATGATGTCATGTAAAATCAAAGTTACATAGAAAGTAAATTGCGTACGGAAGAAACTTACAACATAATATTCAGTTTTAATGACAACTCTGCATACAAAATTTTCATTGGTACGAAAACCAAATCGTTTCGCTGAACTACCATGTGATGACGTACTAGTCTCTGGTGAATTAGCATTAATATCCCAGCTACCAGTTGTTTCTATTAATATTTGCAATGGTTGTGTTTCAACAATTGGCAGTTCACATTCATCAGTTCTATCTTGTTCACTCAGTATAGTTGGGTCAAAAGCTAAATAATCAGAGATTAAGTCGATTGAAAACCTGTTTAGCAAAAAAAATAAAATATGTAAAAAGGAGATAAATATAAATCCAGGTTAGTGAAAATAAAATCTTACAAATAACATTAAAACCAAGATACAAAAGTAGTTTAGTATCTACTCCTTAAGTGACTGACTTAACATAAATCTTCTAGAAAAGTATGAATTGTAATTGCTACATACAAGGTCTGAGTTATTAGACAGTGAATCTAGTTATATTTTAACAATCAATATTTAGCTAGGTCAGTGGGTCGAGACAAATGATGCGACACTAGTTTACTGTATTCTTTTTTCTGAGTTCAGTAGCGGTAATATTCTCGTTTGATTGATATAATCGAAAATCAGTCATGTCAATGGGTCACAGATAGTTAAAACCATTTAAGAATATCAACGAATCTGGGAAAGTAACATGCAGCAGAAACTGAACGGCATGTTTGATTGAATGTGTAGAGATCGATTGATGAGTATCGTACCTTCGAGATACCACAGAAATGAGCTTCACATTATGTATATTAGAATCTATGGATTGTTTTTAAAAAATGAAACTATGAATATTTTTAGTACAGCTTGAAGAAAATTTTCATCAAGAAATGGCACCAAACAAAGAAGCAATGAAAACTAGGAACAAATTAACAATATTTACATTTAAAGCTCTAGTAACAGGTAATGAATTGTGGAGTGAAACAAATTGATAGGTTCACAGGAACTCATCAATAATACTAGCTGAAATTTGTGGTGTATCACAGACTGACCGAATTTGAAATACCAACTAGTAGATTTCAGTGTTCTCTGTGAAATCTAATAATCTTCTTTTGGGTTTTGTGTGTAAATGGAATCTGCTTTTTGGAGAATCGTTGATTCAGACTAGAGAAAAGTTTCAAGCGGGTCTAAAATAACTGTCTAATACTGCCTGTTGTTAAATTCTCTGAATATTTAAAGATGTCATAATTATTCTACTGTTTTCATGTAGGAATGAATTACTGAGGTAATATGACCACAGTATATTATTGATTGGTTATTATTCCATAGGATTACTTTTACGATTTTTTAAATACTAGATAGTTTAGAACTGTTGAATCTTTATGTAATATATTGATAGATATTGACATTATAAAAGATTATTAGTTATTATGAAGTTTTGGATAGATATTGTACAAATTAGGGTTACATTTGTCTACCCTTGAAACCATTTAACATATGGAATATTACGATTAATGTTTAAGTCATCAATAAAATAAATGTATACATCATAAGTGCTTGGGTTAATATTGAACATTACGTGTTATAATCAAGATATTTATCATAAATGCTTTTTTTTCATTATTAACCGATTGACATTATCGCTTTGATGAACTTGATATAGATTAAGAAATGTCTATTAGTATTCACTTAACATTATAAACGAATTACGTGGTAAAATACTTTTACTCTATTCTTCAAGCCACTTTTTAATCTACGATTTTATTGGAAATGATTAATGAATACGAACAAAAATTATTTATATCATCTGTAATAAATAAGTGTCAATTAAGTTGATAACATTTATTTCAACATGAAACATATGATGAGTTATAACAGTTGAAAAACTCTTGAAGTGAAAGAAACATCTATTTGATGATATTTTCATCTGTTGTTAAATAGCAGCAATGTGATAGTGAGCTAATTTAATAACAATAGTTGAAATCATGAGTCATTTGAAGCTAGACCACTATGGAAGACCTGGAAGCACTGGACGGCCGTTTCGTCCTAGTATGGGACTTCTCAGCAGTGTTTCCATGGCGGTCTAGCTTCAATTGACTCATGATTTCAACTATTGAAATTATTAAAATCTCCACAAAACTCCTTCTGATAATTTAATAACGTTGTGATATATATTGACAAAAACATATTTTTATGGTCTTTTAATACAAACCAACATTAAAACTTTAATCCAACCTTCTTAGTGTAACAGTATATTTCTAGTTTATATTTCGCTAACATAATAGTCAAAAATTAAGTAAAATGAGTCCATTAAGAAATTTTTCTATGCCGACAGATATTCATTTATTTAGTCAAGTAACACCATGCATTCGGCTGTATTGAACCACAGATTAATAAAATGATCGAAGGGGTGTAAAATCAATATTTTATGTACTGTTAAGGCATTGGCAATCTACGAACTTAAGCCTGAACTTTGCATGCAGAAACGATCCGTCCAAACTCTCATCCTTTGTTGGCCCTAATTCCCTTAATGGGTATGTTTGTGGTTTTTTTTTCCTTCTTTCCGCACTTTTATTTGATTATTATTGATTTTTTCAAATGATTATTTCGTAGTTTAAAAATCCCCATAGAGTATTTAAAAAATGAAAAATATTTGAGTAAACAATTGTTTTCAGTAACTTCATCATCAGGCTCTACAGTTATAAGTCCATAATTATAATCATTTACAAAGGTCAAAAATAAGGCATGTATTAATGAATTTGACAATGTTACGTGTTAAAGATGGTGCACGTTTGCATCTGTTACGATATATATATATATATATACTTCAAAATTGTTATATTTGACAAATTAGAAAGGTCATTCAATAAAGGTCAAGATGATTTGGAGTAAAGTGTTCAGTCACAATAAGTAGAGAATAGTATTATAGCAAAAATGAAAATGCCAAAAAAAATTGTGTGAATAAAATGCATAGTAGGAGAATTTCATCTTGTCAATTGAGATAATAATAGTAATAATAAGATAGTTGTGTGAACATAATATGTAATAAGGTGTTCGCTGAAATATTCATTTTTTGATTATTTTGCATTTTTAAACTGTAATCAGTTATTCTTATTACCTTATACAAGTTTTCTTGATTATTATTCAGTCTATTATTATGACCTTTGTTTGTCACTTTTCTTCATATCTGTCAATTGGACTATTATCTGACCCATAAAAGATTTTCATCCTTACCCCTTGATTAGTACGTAACCTCATTTGTTATTTAGTCTCAAATCCATTTTATGATGCAATCTTTTCTATCCTCCTTTAGATATATATTTTCCATATAACTATATATACGAATGTGAGCTTAAGTAAATGATTTCGTCGAAAAGAAAAATTTCTTCGTTGATTTCAATTAAAAGAGTTGAGTTGTGAAGATACTAGACGAATATTAAACTGAACAGTTTGAATGAACTTAAAGGAAATAAGCTTATAAGAAGTAGTCATTAGGGAAATATAAATTAAATACATATGAACTTATTACATTTTAATCATTTTATCTATGTACTTTTTTTCCGACCATTTTTCCTTCCCTTCTTGACTTTGTTTTTCGTAAAAGAAACTTGTTGAAATACCTTGTGTTGAGAATTCTATATTGTACCAAAATATAATATTGAATAAAGCCATTAATAATAATATACTTAGTCATTAAATAGATGTAACGCAATAGTGTTCTGATGGGCTGGGGTAACAGAAGGCAACTTGGACTTAAAGTTTGTAGGAATCCCTGACTTACAGTACTTATAAACCATACAAAAAACGAGGTATATTACTTGTTTTCACGCTATTGAAATGTTATGTCTGTCACTGCTATTTTGCTGAATGCTTAACTGACTTGTGCTTGATATTGAAACGTCGAGGTTGACGACGCATGATGATAACACAAAGGGCCAGTATTATGGACTTATTTCCAGGATAAAACAAATCCATATTATCAATCTTTGTGTTTTCACTATGCATCGTCAACTTCGGTATTTCAGTACCAAACACAAGTCAGTCAAGCATTCAGCAAACATAACAATGACAGACAACACGAAATTTTAAAATCTCAAATGTTATCACAGAATTTTTATTATCGATATCAGTTTTATCAATAAGATAATTAGTTAACATATTGTCATTACTGGCCTAAAATATTTAACGAATTTTGCAGACAGGCTATATGAGTTACTTTTTCAAATTTCATCTAATTAAAATTCAAGTACATAGCATCTAAGATAATATCCCTATTATTATATGGATCAACAGATCGTACCAATTATGAGGGAAGATACATGGAAAATTAACCGCAAATTCTTTGCGTTTAAATGACAAAAATTACATTTTTGCGTTTCATTGAGTGCAGATGCTAAGTAAACAAGAAAAGTGTAAATAAAAGAAATATGAGTATGCTAAAGAATTTAATGTGTCTGGCACTTATATCGATCAGTACTTACCAGATGTGTAAATGTAGATCTGTTTGGATATGACGAACAACCTTCTGGATTAGATAATAATCCATATACATATATAATTAGTCAGAAACCAGGGAACTTACATTTTTGATAATTTTTTCGACTTATAAATCTTTGAACTTTGAAAAAGCAAATTTATTTTGAAATTTGTCATCAAATCATTTATTAGGAGTCTACAAGATCTCTGTTTCTTTTAATTAGATTTGTCAAAAGTGATTAGATATATAATGTATTTGTATTGATATGAACATGTGTTTCTTGCAGAAATCTCAAGAAAATTAATGTCGTCTTAGGGAACTCAACTTTTGTCATTCCATGTCACATCTAGGAACGTTACTTGATGAGATATCCGGGGTGTAACTAACTTACTAAGGAACCGAAGTGTCTACATAACTTGATCACCAAGTAGTAATTAGTATAATTTCGTTTTGTCCTTAAGGTTGGTCGAATTTTGTCAAACAAGCTTCATTGTGACCAATAGTCTTCAACTAGTTAGCGTTAATGAAAGTGAACCACAATGTTGTCTGTGTTCACAACAACAGCGCTTGTACTAGGCACGTTACTGTCCTCCATAATGATGATTAAAATGTACTTCGTCGACAAGTACTGATGTTTTATAGCAATCCGACAAAACATAACTAACAAATTAAAAACGAACTTCAAAACTAGCCATTTCATTGGACGAAACGGGATGAAAAATATTGCAATTTTGGGTTGAAAAAACATTTTTAAAAAGGGTGGGTGGGGGTTTTTTAAAAAAAATTGCCGTGGGGCAAATGAATTTCGTTCACAATGAACTCAATGA